ACTCCTGGCTACCACTGATCTTTTACTGTCTCCACAGTTTTGTCTTTACCAGAACGTCATATAGTTGGAATCATACATACAGTGCATAGCCTTTTCAGATTGGCTCCCTTCAGTTAGTAATATGCATTTAAGTTTCTTCCGTGTATTTTATGATTTGCTAGCTCATTTCTTTTGTGTGCTGAATAATATTCTAGTATCTGGATGTACCACAGTTTATTTACCTATTCACCTACTGAAAGACATCTTAATTGCTTCCAAGTTTTGGAAATTATGAATAAAGCTCCTATAAACGTCTGTAGGCAGGTTTTTGGGTGGACATACTCTTATTTTTATATCTCTATTTTCTAATTTTTCTACAATGAACACTTTCTTCAATGTGTAATATTAAAAAAATTCTTCCTTGAAGAAATGTGGAAAGCCTTAATTCAATGTTTGATTTAGCTGGCTGGAAGTTCAAATAGTTAAGATTTATTACTTTAAGAAAAATACTCTGGCTTTAAAGTAGAGATGAGATTAATTTGTGTTTAATGAGCTCTTACTTGGATGTCAAAAAATGATCACAATAAAAATCAAACAGATTAGTTACTCTGTGTATGTCTCTGTGCTAAGTCCTTACCAAGAATTATCTCATTTATGCATGATCTCACTTATCTGTGGAATCTAAAAAAAGAAAACCTAACAGAAACAGAGAACAAAGTGGTGGTTGTCAGATGAGGAGGTGGGTGGGGTAGTGGGGTGGATGACGGGTAGGAGGGGAATGGATGAAGGTGGTCAAAAAGTACATACTTCCAGTTATAAGGTAAATAAGTTCTGGGGATGTGATGTACTTCGTGGCGACTCTACACAGTTAACAATATTGTATATTTGAAAGTTGCTAAGAGATACATCTTAAAAGTTCTCACCACAGGAAAAATATTATAACTATATAAGGTGACCAAGGTTAACTAAATTTATTGTGGAAATCAGTTTGCAATAGATACATATATCAAACCATTATGTTGTATACCTTAAACAAATACATTATATGTCAATTATATCGCAAGAAAAGTGGTTAGGGGGAAGAATTATCATTTAATTCTCAAAGGAAGGGAGGGGCCCTAAGTCCTGGTGATGGTGTTTTTAATATATTAAGCTGTGTTGGTCTTCCATAAATTCTTCTCAATCAACACTTATTTACTAACAAGAATTTAGAAAGGAGTAGAGGTGGGCTTTCAAATGTATTTTTAAAAATTTTGTTTGTCTATTTGGTTTTTACTTGTTCGCTTCTCTACTTCTATATGTCCAGATTCTATCTCTCTTCTAAAAGCCAACTAAGAAATTGTACATGTTTATCCACATAAATTATATTGTGATCCTCATCATGTAGATTATTTGCTATGTTTAGTATGTGACTTTGCTACTATGATTTTAACAGTTCTTTGACTTACACATCCAGGAAAAATAGTGTATATTAACCACATCCATTTGTATAGATTTCCCAAGTAAACAAAATGTTGAGAAACCAAATTGAAAAGACTCTATGCAGCTGCTTCCCACTAGCTATCTATTTTACATTTGGTAGTGTATATATGTCAATGCTATTCTCTTACTTTGTCCCAGCTTACCCCTCCCCCCTCCCCGTATCCTCAAGTCCATTCTCTAGTAGGTCTGTGTCTCCAATAGATGTAAAAAAAAAAAAAAAGAATCTCTAGAAGAAAACAAGAGTAACAACTCTCATACTTTGCTGAAGGGACCATAGATTGATTGGTACAACCACTTGGAAAACCAGTTTGACAGTATCTAGAAAATAGGCACGCTTTATAACCTAGCAGTTCCACTCCTAGATATACACACTAAAGTAACACTTGCATAAATGTACATGTTCAAGAATGTTCAAAATGGCATGCATAGCTCATGATAGCCAAAAACTAGAAACAACCTTAATGTCCATTGACAACAAAATCAATTAATAACTATATTCATACATCAAAAATAATATCTATAGCATTGCACAATAATATGGTTGAATCTTAAATGTAGATTGAAAGAAGCCAAAAACAAAAGAATATATAATGTATGATTCTATTTATAGAGTTCAAAAGCGAGCAAAATAAACCATAGCATTTAGGGGTGCATACTTAGAAGGCAAAGCAAAAAAAAAAGCAAGCAGATCAGTAGTTACTGGGGTTTTTTTTGTTTGTTTGTTTTTTAATTAATTATTTAATTTTTGGCCGCGTTGGGTCTTCATTGCTGCTTACGGGCTTTCTCTAGTTGCGGCGAGCGGGGGCTACTCTTCCTTGCCGTACGCAGGCTTCTCATTGCGGTGGGCTCTAGGCGTGTGGGCTTCAGTAGTTGTGAACTCAGTAGTTGTGGCTCGCGGGCTCTAGAGCACAGGCTCAGTAGTTGTGGCACACAAGCTTAGTTGCTCCACAGCATGTGGGATCTTCCCAGGCCAGGGCTCAAACCTGTGTGCCCTGAGTTGGCGGGTGGATTCTTAACCACTGCGCCACCAGGGAAGTCCTTCATAGTTACTTCTTAAGGAAAGGTATTAAGATAAGGGAGGGACACAGGCAGGATTTCTAGGCACTTAAATGTCCCTTTTTTGGTGTTTATATGAGTGTTTTATGATTTAATTTATATATTTATATAAATTATAAATTTATAATTTATATATTTCTAATAAATACTTTTTTTATTAAAAATAAAAACATTTTTCTAGTAAAAAAATGTTAAAGAAGAGAAAGACCAAAGGCTCAGTCTCAAAATAAACACTGGAAGCATATGATCAGCAACAATTTAATGAGGCCATAGCAGTTACAGGATTCTCAAATGGGTACAGTATAAAACCTGTCATAAAATTAGTAAGAGATGTAAGATAGAACACACTTCAATACTGGTACAACGGTAATAGCAGCTTTACAAATGTTTATCTATAGGATTTCTATAGTTTTTTTTAAAAATGAACCTTTATCTCACAAGAATGATCAAATCATTTAAAATAAATTGATACAGTACACAGTGGTTTATTAATATTATAAACATTATAAATGTCCCAGAAAATATTTACAAATACTCACTGGCTTTATTCTCAGTGATTATTCCCTTTAATTTCACTTAATATAAACATAGTAGCAGGTTTAAAAAAATTATTAGAAACAGACATATTTCTTTTTTTAATATAAATTTATTTATTTTTGGCTACATTGGGTCTTCGTTGCTGTGCACATGCTTTCTCTAGTTGTGGCGAGCGGGGGCTACTCTTCATTGCACTGCGTGGCTTCTCGCTGCGGAGCACGGGCTCTAGGCACGTGGGCTTCAGTAGTTGTGGCACATGGGCTTAGTTGCTCCGTGGCATGTGGGATCTTCCCGGACCAGGGCTCGAACCCGTGACCCTTGCATTGGCAGGCGGATTCTTAACCACTGAGCCACCAGGGAATCCCAGAAACAGATATATTTCTTAACTTCCATTATCTGTTTAATTTGCATACATAAATGTAAATATAAATGTGGGTCTCATGAAAACAAGAACACTGTCCCCACGTCTGCCTTCCAGTTTGGTGACTTTCCACAAAACTGTATTTGGCATCTCAAAGCTATATTTATCTGAGGAAATATAGGCATTTTGGGGAAATTGCTAAAATATCTTTCTAGCCTGAGATAACCAGGGGATATTTCAGAGATATCATCTTATGTAGCTGTTTCCTGTCGGGCTAGAAAGTTCAGTGAAAAACGGCCACTCCTTGTTTCCCCTCCATGAGGAGCTGCTATCCTTATTCTTGGAACTGCAGCGGAAGTTATCAGCATCAAAGCTAATCCTGTGCCTTCAGAGTCACACTTACCCTAATGAGAGTTCCTCTTCTTCCATATTTATCGCATTAGTGATTAGGGGTCCTGGCTGAAGCTAGAGTAGTGTCTACTGCTAAGTAGACATGTCTGACAAACTGGGGGCTCCCAGAAATTGGCAACTTTGTAGAAGACTGACTGATAGGGTTGCCAAATAAAATATAGGATGTTCAGTTGAATTTGAATTTCAGATAAACAACGAATAATTTTTTAGCATAAATATGTCCCATGCAATACTGGGGACATATTTAAACTTCAAAAAATTCATTGTTTAATGGTACATATTTATACTTAAAAGTTATTTGTTGTTTATCTGAAATTAGACTTTGATGGGGTGTCATGTGTTTATATTTGCTAAATCTGTCAACCCTGTACTGTCAGGAAAAAGCAAAATCCAGTGAGGTGTGCATGATCACTGTTATTGAATCAATAGGTGGCTGAGGACAGGGAATCAGATCTCACAGTGAACCTGCTATGGATTTCAGAGAATCCTTGGTGGGGCACTGTGGGAAACACAAGGTTCCTGTTGAGGTCTTCATGAAATTTATATTTAGGGGCTTCCCTGGTGGCGCAGTGGTTGAGAGTCCGCCTGCCAATGCCGGGGACACGGGTTCGAGCCCTGGTTCGGGAGGATCCCACATGCCGCGGAGCGGCTGGGCCCGTGAGCCACAACTACTGAGCCTGCGCGTCTGGAGCCTGTGCTCCGCAACAAGAGAGGCTGCGATAGTGAGAGGCCCGCGCACCGCGATGAAGAGTGGCCCCCGCTCGCCACAACTAGAGGAAGCCCACGCACAGAAACGAAGACCCAACACAGCCATAAATAAAAATAAATAAATTAATTTAAAAAAAGAAATTTATATTTAGCGTCATGAATGTGGATAGCAGATACCAAAGTGAGGAATATCTCAGACTTCAGTAAGCCAGATATAACTACCTACCTAAGATGCTAGAAATGATATTCTAATTTTTTTAAAAACCATTTATTTATTGTTTTGGTTATGCCGGGTCTTAGTTGCAGCAGGCAGGCTCCTTAGCTGTGGCTCCAGGGCTCCTTAGTCGCAGCTTGCCAGCTCCTTAGTTACAGCATGTAGGCTCCTTAGTTGCAGTATGCGAACTCTCAGTTGCAGCATGTATGCAGGATCTAGTTCCCTGACCAGGGATTGAACCCAGGCCCCCTGCATTGGGAGAGCGGAGTCCCATCCACTGCACTGCCAGGGAAGTCCCATGATATTCTAATTTTTAAGGTCACATTGGAGTTTTTGTTTCAAATTCTTTTGGAACAGTTAGGTTTGAATGGGGGATGGTTTTACTTCTTAATTGATTATAGGGAACAGAAATAAAATCTGGAGGGTCTGTTTTTTATGGTTAAGTTTGTAGCACTTAATGAATGCATGAACTTTACAGGCTGAAATACTTTGCTTTTCAATTACCTGAGACTACCCAAGATGAATGGGCACCAGGTTATTTTCTTAATGTCATAACTGCACCTATAGAGTAAAAATTAGAGTTATCTAGTTAAACTTGAATAACCTCCCCAACCTAAATTTGGTAATTCCAGGATAAACATCACTTTGGGCATTGCATTTTCCCATCTGTTCTATTATTGATCATGTAAACTAGAAAATATCCTAATACTTGCTTTATACTACAGTATGTATGGGCTCCATACATATTTTAATTCTTCGAATTAATTATAGATTAATATAATTATTTATACATACTACATTAAAAAAAGGATTGGGATAATATTATCCGTATATTTTATGGATCATCATATGGAGTCAGGCAGAGGTGGCATCATTTTGTTCATCAAAGCTGCTTGTAGAAAGTGGCAGAGTTTGAGATGGGCTTCTAGGGTGAGCCAGCTATGAAAAAAAACAAAGGTCCCAAGTATAATATGAATTATGTTCTTGTGGCCAGCACAGCTCTTCTTCCTCCTCACTAACAAAACCCAGATTTTATGCAAGGCAGCAATGCATCTGGTTTCTAAAAACCACTTTTTCCCAGCTTCCCTGATATTATCAGAAGTTCCTGGATATCCCCTGTTTAAAGAGATGAAGGGCAGTTTAGCTAGCACACCCTTTTGCCCTTTGCCCTTCTTATCTTGCCTACAATGTGGACGTGAGGCTTCAGGAAGTGTTGATATTCTGCACCGTAAGGATAAAAGCCACATATTAAGGATGGAAGAGAGGTGATTACATGGTCAAGCTGCTGTACCCGTTATGCACTGCCTATTTCCCAAGGCAATATGCAGAAAATAAAAATAAGGCCTTATTTGGTTAAGTCACTATAGTCAGATTTCTATTACGAGTAGGCAAATGCAAAGCCTAACTAATACAATTGCTTCAGAATTAAACGAAAAAGGAAGTCTAAGGAGTGGGAAAAGTCATTCCATGTCTAACAACAGTTTTTACTAGATATCTTCTAGTAAGTGGATTCTGAGGAGCACAACATATGGCATAGGTCTTATGTGTGATTTTTGATGTCATTGCTCAATATATGGGTTTATTGTTCATTATATTTTTAATTGTTTCCACATTACCCAACCCACTATAGTAGTTATGGGGTAGGGCAGGGACAAAAAGGATCCTAGAGCTAAACAAAGAAAGGAAGTGAGGGTTCTTCCCTCTGCCCATCACAATTTGTGGTATTACCAAGGATCTGGGGGTGGACTCCTATTGGATTTTCCAAAAGGAAGAAAGAGGAATCCAGTCACACCTCCAAAGAAGGTCATATAGTGCCCAGGAGGACCAAGTTGATCGGCAAGAGGGAAACAAAGCTGTCCCGCAAAAGGCACTGATTCTCTTTTTTAAACGGTAGTTGATTTACAATGTTGTATTAGTTTTAGGTGTACAGCTTCAGGTTCTTTTCCACTATAGGTTATTACAAGATAGTGAATATAGTTCCCTGCACTATACAGTAAATCCTTGTTGTTTATCTATTTTATATATAGTAGTGTGTATCTGTTAATCCCATGCTCCCAATTTATCCCTCCCCCCCCCCCCCCCCTTTGGTAACCGTAAGTTTATTTTCTATGTCTGTGAGTCTATTTCAGTTTTGTAAGTAAGTTCATTTGCATTATTTTTTTTTAGATTCCATATAAGTGATATATAATATTTGTCTTTCTCTGCCTAACTTCACTTAGTATGATAATCTCTAGGTCCATCTGTGTTGCTGCAAATGGCAGTATTTCATTCTTTCTTATGACTGAGTACTATTCCATTGTGTGTGTGTGTTTGCGTGTGTGTGTGTGTGTGTGTACCACATCTTCTTTATCCATTCATCTGTTGATGGACATTTAGGTTGCTTCCATGTTTTGGCTATTATAAATAGTCCTGCTATGAACATTGGTGTGCATGTATCTCTTTTGATTAGAGTTTTTGTCTTTTCTGGGTATATGCCCAGTAGTGGGATTGCTGGATCATGTGGTAACTCTATTTTTAGTTCTTTAAGTAATCTCCATCCTGTTTTCCATAGTGGCTACACCAATTTACATTTCCAACGACAGTGTAGGAGTGTTCCCTTTTACCTACACCCTCTCTAGCATTTATTATTTGTAGACTTTTTGATGATGGCCATTCTGACCAGTGCATTTCTCCAATAATTAGCAATGTGGAGCATCTTTTCATGTTCCTGTTGCCCATCTGTATGTCTTCTTTGGAGAAATGTCTATTTAGGTCTTCTGCCCACTTTTTTGGATTGGGTTGTTTGTTTTTCTTGTTATTGAGTTCCATGAGCTGTCTGTATATTTTGGAAATTAAGCCCTTGTCAGTCACATTGTTTGCAAATATTTTCTCCCAGTCTGTATGTTGCCTTTTTTTTTTAAATTCAGGTTGTATTCTGCTGTCTTTTTTGTTTTTTTTAGATTTTTTTGATGTGGACTATTTTTAAAGTCTTTATTGAATTTGTTACATTATTGCTTCTGTTTTATGTTTTGGTTTTTTGGTCTAGAGGCATGTGGGATCTTAGCTCCCTGACCAGGAATCGAACCCACACTCCCTGCATTGGTAGGTGAAGTATTAACCACTGTACTGCCAGGGAAGTCCCTGTAGGCTGTCTTTTTGTTTTGTTTATGGTTTCCTTTGCTGTGTATAAGCTTATAAGTTTGATTAGTTGTCATTTGTTTATTTTTGCTTTTATTTCTTTTGCAAAAGGCACTGATTCTTAACAAGGGAATGAAGGAAGGGAGGACAGTGCTGGGGTGGGAAGAGTGTCTGCAGTGGAGTTTGTGGTGTGTCTCTTGGCCCAGAGGGAGATGGAAATATAAGCTTCATAGCCAAAGAGGCCAGCAGCCCTGTGCCCCAGCACTCTAGCAGGGGTGGTGGAAGGATGGCTCCTTCTCACAGATCTGATGATAGAGGTGATCAGGGAGATGAGACAAATAGGGTTTGGAAGAAATCACACAAGGGCCAGCTGATGCACTGGATTTTGGTGTATGGGTCATACATGTAGGTGACAAAGAAGAAAGCTGCCAAGACCTTTTCTTACCAGCTCTGCATGATCTGACTCCTATCCCCATCTCTATTCCTATCTTTCTGTTACAGCCACACCGGCCACTTTTCAATTCCTCAGATAGACTGTGATCCCTCCCACCATGAGACCCTTGCACCTGCTGTTCTTTTTCCCTAGAGCTCTCCTCCCTGACATCCAAGTTGGGCTCACTCCACAGGTACCCTCTCCAGTTAATGCCTATTCATCTTTCAAGTCTTACCTCATCCCTTCCTAAGGGAATCTTTCCTAGATCATCCAGGCTAGATCAAGTTCCCCCCAACAGAATCTTGTTCCTTTCCTTCACAGAAGTTACTTCAGTGCAAAATTATACAAATTGTGATTATATGATTAATATCTACTTTCTCCACTAGACCGAAAGATCCAAGACAGCAGATCTGTGTCTGTTTTTGCTATACCCCTGGTACTCCAGCACAGTGTCTGGCATATAGGAAATGCTTAATAAATACTTATTAATGAAATTAATAAAGCCAGACGTTCATTGCTAAAGTGGAGATGATAATCCTAGCTATCTCATAGAATTTCTTGAAGCCTAAATATGAAAGTGCTTTATAAAGCATAAGGAACTGTTTTAAAATTACTATTATTAAGAAAGATGCTTTAGATTATGATTCTAAATAAATACATTTGAAGAAAAGGATCCAAAGTCTTTTTTTCCCTAAAGGCTTACCTGAAACTTTCTCTTCAAGGCCTGGGTCATTACTGGGGTCAGCCCAGTTCCTGTTTCCATATTTTCTTTATTGGTAAGTGGGGTTCCACCTGGGCTCCTGCAAAGGTATTGAAAATATTAGGAGCTGTGTTTTATGCTGAATTTTCAAGTGAATTTAGAAAGCATAAAGATAGGAGAGTGGATTACCTCTCTACATCGACTTTTCTGAGTAGTTTTCGCAGATCTAACTGGCTTTTACCAGGAGTACTGATAAAATAAAGATACAAAAGTTAGAGCTTGCCAGATTTTATAATTTTTCCAAAGCAAAGCAGTCATTTCTATAGGCAACATCCTAGAAAGTAGTTTGTTGCATTTGTTACTATTTATTACATTTAAAAATAGCAGTAGATGCAGATAGGAGCATAAAGTGATATAGTGATTCTAATAAGTAATAGTTTTTGACTCAGTAATTACACATGTAAGAATCCATCTTAGGGCAAAACTCAGCTATGCATACAGATGATGGACAAGGATGTTTATTGAAGAGTTATAGAAAAAAAAAATCACAAACAACCTAAATGTCTCAAAACAGGATTTTATCTATGAAATTCACATATTAAAAAACTGCATCTATTGAAGAAGTCAAAATGATGGTTTAAACTAATTTTTAATGAGATATGGGAAAGTTCATGACATATTAATGGGAAAACCCATATCTATATGTATAATATGATTATACACAGGTACACACATAAACATATCATATTTCATTGATTCCAAAACATAAACATATCATGTTTCATTAATTCCAAGAAAACTAGTTTTCTTATTTCTGAAATTGTGCTGCTTTGAAAATTCCTGATAATATTTCCCTCCCAAATCTGTTATTAAATCAATGGTGTATTTTGTAATAAACAGCATCATGAAATGGAAATAATAGAGTATATATCCAGAGAAAGACTAGAATGATAAACAACAGTATGTTAACAGTATGTGGCTATCTCCAATGATAGGATTGTTTGCATGATTTTTGTTTTCTTCTTGAAACGTTTCTGTAGATTTCAATTTTCAATGATCATATGTAACTTTTAAAGTTAGAAATAAGCAAAAAATCATTAATTTAAGTAGCAGTAGAGTGTAGTACTGTGTATTTCCTTACATTAAGACATTTGTAACTCGAGTTGATAACACTTTGGACTTCGGTTTCAGGGAAACGCACCGCAGGTCAGAGACAGTAACTAGTGGATTCTGTGCCTTTGGTGATGGTACAAGCTTTAATCACAAAATGAGACACTATTAAAAACACATTTAAAAATAGCATTCAAAATGTAAACATACTAAAACAATAAATATTTGAGTGCTGAATATGTGTAAGATATATCTATTCAATTTTTATTCCAAAGCTTCAAAGTATATCTCTGCCCCTTCAAACTAATGGTTGGTAGATAAAACTGCCTAATTAAATAATTTGGGGATTTACCTATTTTGTTGAGGAGATCCAAAATTACTCAAAAAAATAAAAATCAAGTACTTACCTCAGAATGGTTTCTATATTTAAGACTTATGCTTATTTTCCATTAAGGGACAACCAGGTTAAAAGCCGAAAGACCACATGTTTGGTCAATGACATCTTACCTTCCTCCTTTCATCAAAACTCTGTGTCTTCTTTAATTTCACAGTCAGTAGATCTTTAACTGTTATATGCATGGGTACATTTTTTTTTAATGGTCCAGCCTTAAAATACATGGAGAGGTTAGAATTCAAATTGGAACCAGGACATCTAGTCAAATGCAAATCCAAATCTAGTTTTTAAAGACTCTTTAAAAATTAACTTAAAAATTAACTCTTATTTCCCCTAGGAGCCTATCAAATTCTTTCCACTCAACCAAGAACAATTCTGTTTTCAGTATCCATGGATGCTAAGGCTATTGAAAAGTATTCACCAAAATGTAAGGCTTTGATAGTAAGAGATGGGCTAGTTCCTTATAACTATGCATCCTCCTTAGGAGTCTTAGGACAGGAGATGAAGGAGTTCTTTAAATCAAAGTGAAATTTTGGGGACTTCCCTGGTGGCTCAGTGGTTAAGAATCCACCTGCCAATGCAGGGGACACGGGTTCGAGCCCTGGTCCGGGAAGATCTCACATGCCATGGAGCAACGAAACCCGTGCACCACAACTTCTGAGCCTGTGCTCTAGAGCCCGCTCTACTAAACCCGTGTGCCACAACTACTGAAGCCCATGTGCCTAGAGCCTGTGCTGCGCAACAAGAGAAGCCACTGCAATGAGAAGCCCGTGCACCGCAACAAAGAGTAGCCCCCGCTCGCCACAACTAGAGAGAGCCCACGCGCGGTAATGAAGACCCAACGTAGCCAAAAATAAAAATAAGTTAATTAATCAAAAAAAATTTTTTAAAGAGCAAGTTAAAAAAAAAAAACAAAATGAAGTTTTGCCTGAACTCCCTAAAAGGATGACTCAGTTCCCATAGAGGAAGGACGTATACTCAAAGAGGTATATATTAGGGCAAATGTAACAATAGGCTCTGCATTTAATTCAGCCATTTTCAACCAAATATATCTGTAGTGAAAATTCAGCAGATTTTTAAATAGGGCCAGGCCTATCTTAGTGATTCACAAATACTCTGGTCCTCTTGGAAGATAAGTAACTCTAATGGAGACTGGTTCTCCAGCCTAATGGCATTATACTTTAGGATCCACAAATTCTTTTTATTCTGACTTCACTCACTAAGCTATCTTTGTTTTTAATTTGGTTTCCCAGAGAGATTTCCATTTTTGTAAAGAATCCAACAGGAATCTCCCACCTTGCTGGATTTCATTCATTTATCCTTGAAAAAAAATCACTTTCATTTCTAAATCCCACTTTCGTGATCTCTCAGAGGACTGTGTCTTTAAAAACAATAATTGACATAATTAAGATATGGAAACAGAACAAAATGCAGCCCTTCCTGTCAAAGCCCTTAGCCCAACCTTAAAAGGACACCTGGCTGTACTCCTTCATTACACACTGACCAAAACACACCTTTACTAGATTGTTTTTTACCTGATGTGCTTTAGTGAGATCAGATTTTCTGAGCAGCAAAGGTGCTGTCAGTGGTGGAGGCGGAGGGAGCGGAGGCGGGGGCGGAGGGGGCGGAGGCGGGGGCGGAGGAAGACGACTGGCTGGCTGTGGCAGTGAGGTGGGCAGTATAGCCTCGGAGTCTCCAGGGGTGGTTAGAGCACATGCAGGCACATTTGTAAGTTTACCACGCGTGTGACACATCTGACCACAGCTTGGACAGGAAGAATTTTCTGAGACGGCCTGGAAGAAAACGTTACAGTTGGCAACTGAAGAACAGATTTATTTGGTTCTTATGGTTGAGTCATCAAAACCATACCTACCATGTATTGAATGCTTTCTCAGTATACCATATGCTCCGTAATATTTTCTCATTTATCACAAGCTCATTCATTCATTCATATATTTGTTTTGTGTGTGCTATATGCCAGGCACTGTGGGTACAATATGAGCCCTGTCTGTCACCTCATCGAGCTGACAGTCCGGCGAGGAAGACAAGACATTAAACATACACAAAACACATTCAAAACAAACCAAAATAATACTTCAATAAGAGCCATGAAGTGTGCTGTGAGCATGAATAGTCAGAGGTCTGGGGAGTGATATTTAGCCATGATCTCAAAGATGAATTTAGCTTTACCAGGTGAAGAAGGGAGATAAAAACTGGGGGAAGAGTTCCTAGCAGAGGGAAAAACACTTAATACAACCAAGAATATAGTATATTCAAGGAACTGATAAAAAAGTTCAAGGGCCTGGAACATGACTGTTATGGGCTGAATTGTCCTCCCCCATTGCAACTCATATATTGAACCCTCAACCCCCAGTACCTCAGAATGTGATTGTATTTGGAGATAGGGCCTTTAAAGAAGTGATTAAATTAAAAGGAGCCATTAGGGTGGGCTCTAATCCAATGTGACTGGTGTCCTTATATAAAGACGAAACTTGAACAAACAGGAGACACCAGGGATGCACGTGCACAGAGAAAAGACAATCTGAGGACATAGAAGGCAAGTCGAGGAGAGAGGCATTAGAAGAAGCCAGCCCTACCAACACCTTGAGCCTAGACTTCTGGCCTCCAAAATTGGGAGAAAATAAATTTTTGTTGTATAAGTCACCCAGTCTGTGCTACTTTGTCATGGCAGCCCTAGCAAATGAATACAACGACCCTAAGAAGTGAGGGGGCATACTACAGGCTGCTGTAACAAAGTATCACAAACTTGGTGGCTTAAAACAAAATTCATTCTCTCACAGTCCTGGAGGTTAGAAGACTGAAATCAAGGTGTCAGTAGGACTGCACTCCCTATGAAGGCTCCAGGGAAGAATCTGTTTCTTGTCTCTTCCAGCTTCTGGAATCTACTGGCATCCTTTGGTTTGAGGCCCCATGACTCCACTCTCTGCCTCTGTGGTCCCATTGCTTCTCCTCTTCTCTGTATGTTCTACTCTGTGTGTCTTTTATAAGGACACTTGTCACTGGATTGAGGGTCCACCCAGATAATAAAGTATGATCTCCTCACCTCAAAATCCTTAACTCAATTATATATCTGCAAAGACCCTGTTCCCAAAAAAGGTAATATTTACAGGTTCCAGGGATTAGGACTTGGACATATCTTTTGGGGGGCCATCATTCAGCTCACTACAGATGGCATCTTCCCCACTTTATAGATGAAGAAACTGAGGTCCAGGTTGTGAAGTCCAGGTCATGAGGTGATTTGCCTTTCCTCCTCTGGTTAGCTCATCTTGAGGCACAAATTCTGGAAGTAGGGGTGTAATCCCAGAAGTGTCTCTCCAAACCAATGAGCACAATGTTTATTCTTTAGGTTTTAGGCACTGAGAATAGGGATCCTGCTTAGGGGAGTTCGGAGAGAGTGGATATTTATAGTTTTTTCCTGCCTATATCAGTCAAGAAAATAGAAACCACCCTGAGTATTTAGAAGAGGGGACATGTAATATAGTGAGTTGGTTATACTGCTGATGGAAGAGCTGAGAAGCACGCAGGGGACAGTGAGGCATCCCAGAGATTAGCAACAGCATAAAGCCATGAACACCCTGACACTGCATGGCCAAAGAGAAGGACAGTATAATCAGATCTCTGGAGCTGGGTTAACCCAGAGAATCTAGAAACATGGTTGACTTACCTAGTGGGAGCTGGAGTTAGGGAGGCAACAACAACCATTGCTGGAGAAATTGCCCAACACAGAGAACAAAGGGGAAAAATACCCCATCCTCTCTCTCCTTCTAATCTCTCATCAGTGTCTCCCATTAGTCCAGCACACCAGGAGCCAGATGACATGGAGCTTGGGAAATGTAGCCTGCAGGGGTCAGCCCCCCTCCAATACAGAGCAGAGCTTCTGAAGTTTAAGGACTAGACCTGAGAGCAGACATGCCCAGAACTAGCACTAGCCTGTAGCCACTCCTCCTTCTAGTCAAAGAACACTGGGGTTCCAATGGGGGACAACCCCTTCCCTCCTTACCTAATTCTGGATTTGTTTTTCATTTGATAATACTAACCTTCAATGCTTCCTGGAGCTTGTGTAATTCACTTTCCAAAATGTGAAACCGTTGTTTTAGACTATGAAGTTCTTGGTGGCAGAAATGGGATGGAAAGATGGTGTCTTTCAATACTTCCAAACTCTTGAAATTAAAAAATAATCAAGTCTGAATCCAATGAGCAATATGATAAGGACAAGAAAGTGGTCTGATGTATGTTTTATAGAAGTGAAGGCAATAACAAGGACCTACTGTATAGCACAGGAAACTATATTCAATACCTTATAATAATTTATAATGGAAAATACTATGAAAAATATGTGTGTATGTGTGTGTGTAACTGAATCACTTTGCAGTACACCTGAAACTAATGCATTGTAAATCAACTATATTTCAATTAAAAAAATTTTTTTTATTGAAAAAAAAATTGGGCTTCCCTGGTGGCACAGTGGTTGAGAGTCTGCCTGCCGATGCAGGGGACACGGGTTTGTGCCCCGGTCCGGGAAGTTCCCACATGTCGCGGAGCGGCTGGGCCCGTGAGCCATGACCGCTGAGCCTGCGCTCCGCAACGGGAGAGGCCACAACAGTGAGAGGCCCGCGTACAGCCAAAAAAAAAAAAAAAAAATTGAGGGCAGACATGACCACACAATTTCATCTCATCTGAGTTTAGCCTGAGTGTCTGCTGACCTGAGCACACACACACATGAACACACACACCCAGTATGCAGAAAAACCATAATGCTGAAAATATGTATGTCAAACCCATACCCAGGCCATGCAGTTCTGAAACCAGTTGTATATAGACCATACTCTATTTGTCCAAAGCTTTACTGCATCTTTAAAATTGGGAAATTTGAAGTTCCAGGACGGTCTTAGCCAGCTTCTGCTAAGGGGTGTATCTGTTGAAGGAATAACCACTCTGTAGGAAAAACAAAACCAAACAAAGCAAAAACTCCTAAGTTGGAATTAACAGCCTCTAATTAAATAACAAGCTAGTTTTATAGTATGACTCAGGAGCAGAGACTATCTAAAGCCAAATTCTTCATTTACTTCTAGAATTCCCAGATTAACTTATGCAACAAATATTTATTGAGTAAATAAATAGTAATAAATAAAACAACATAGTAAACAAATAGGTATCCGAGATTTAGTAATGAACAAAATAGATAAAAATCCTGCCCTCATAGAATTTACAGTTTCATGGAAGAAAGGTAAAAATAACTAAATGAATAATATATGTGGGTTGTTAGGTAGTGAACAAATGCTAAGGAGCAAAAGATAAAGCACGAAAGGGAATGTGAAACGTTGGGTGGAGGTGAAAATTTAGATAGGGTAGCCAGGGAATGTCTCACCGAAAAGGTGACTTTTGAGAACAAACGTCAAGGAAGTGAAGAAACTAGCAGAGCAAATATTTGGGATAAGAGCATTCCTGGCAAGAGTGATAGTAAGTGCAAAGGCCCTGAGGTGGGAGTTTGTCTGAGGTGTTTGAGGAATAGCAAGGAGGCCAGATGACTAGGGTGGAAAGATTGAAGGAAGAGGATTAACAGATAATGTGAGTCAGACCATAAAGGTCTTGTTGGTCATACAAAGGATTTTCATTTTTACTCTGATAGAGGAAGACCTTGGAGAATTTAAGCAGAGGAGCAATATGAAATGATTTTAACAGGCTCACTTTGGCTGCTATGTTGAAATACACTGCAGAGGCAGCAAGGGCAGAGCAGGAAGACCAGTTAGAAGGCAACATTCGGGAGACAGAGGAGTCAAGGATGGTATCATGGCTACCGCTTTTTGAGGGTCTGTTTGTTTTAAAATTTTTTCTTTAAAGAGACCTTTAACAAAAAATGTATAAATATGTTATTGTGAAACCTAATGCCTTAGAGTTCTTAGATTTTAGAGTCTCTTTTAATAACACATTTAAGCCCTGAGTCCCAGAGAATAAATGATCAAACTTTACCAAAATAAAGATTTAAGTTTTAGTCATATACACCTCTTTCATCACTTAGTTACCAGGTTTATACAATTAAATCGACTAGGAAAGTAGAAAATAGTTACTGTGCACCTCAAACACAATTCCTTGTGATTTTTACTTCATTTGAACTCTTAAGCTATGATTGCTACATAAAATCAGGATGCTCAGTTAAAATTTAATTTCAGATAAAGGGTGAATAATTTTTTAGTATAAGTATGTTAGAAATGTTGCATGGGACAATACAAAAAAATCATTCATTGTTCATCTGAAATTCAAATTTAACTGGGTGTTCTGTATCTTTATTTGCTAAATCTGGTAACTTGTTCCTAAAATGATCAGATTTTTAATAATTTCTCTGTTCCACATTACGCCTTACCTTTCTGGTGAGGGTGGCGGAGGGGGAGGTGTAACTAGCTTAGACTGAAAGTGAGAGGCCTCTTTTCTTTTGAAAAATCTTTTCGCTTTGGCTTTTAGCTTTCTTCTTCGTTGCTTGAACTTGGGCATGGTTTCTGTAGAGAAAATTTGTTTTTACATTTTTTATTGAGGAATAATACATATACATAGAAAATACACAAGTTTTAACTACAGTTCAATGAATTATCACAAAGTGAACACATCCTTGCAACCGCCACCTTGGTTAGGAAATAGGTCACTACCAGCAACCCAGAGTCCCCTTGAGGCAGGAGATAGATGGGCCCCAGGCTGAGCAGCTGGAATCTGTCCCCTGTAGACAGATATTTCAAGATGAAGATAATGGCAGGAGCAAGAAGGAGCTGAGTTCTGTTTGGATAAAAAGCTAAAGAGACCACATATTTCTCATTCTTGAGGTCAAGGAGACCCCCAAGCGACACATGTGCAAAAAGGATCCTTGGGGAGGGGGAGCCAGACCATAATATGTTCTGCTAACTCCTCAGAGACCAAAAATGGAATCCATCTTGGCTAAAAGATGTGCATGCACACAGGGGAGGGCCCTGTGCCAGACCAAACATGGACTCAAAGTCAGACAAAGCAAGATGATTGGCCAGAGGTAACCCAGAACTGCCCCCATATAAGTAACATAATCCACCCCAAAAGTGTGTGCCGCTCTCTCTCTCTTGCTCTCTGAGTTCACCCGTGCTTTCTCTGCATGTATCTTCTCTCCTAATAAGCATGTTACTTGCCTCACTACTTTTTGTCTCTTTGCCGAATTCTTTCTTCAAAGCAGACAAGCACCAGGGCAGTGCTGTGGTCAGGGTTCAATCCCTGGTCAGGGAACTGAGGTCCCACTTCAAGCCACCGCAGGCTGGAGCCACCTGACAGCCACCCAAGATCACCCTAAACTGGAGGAAAATTTAAACCCAGATTTAAACTATCTCTAGAGATAGCTTGGCTTTGGCATTATATTACTCTCTAATTTTGTTTTTGTTTTCTTGTTTTGCTTTTCTTCATTAAGTCAAGTGAATTTCCCTTTCTTTATAATGAAATCAAGCAGGACCTTTCAGGGCCTTCCCAGTACAAAAGCTCTTTTTGTTCCCTTTCTCTTGTTTGTAGAAAAAAGACTTCAGTCTCCTAAGCCTTCCTCAAGTTCCAAAGAGCAGACTCAAGCAGTTACTAATTAGAGAAGTGAGGGAATGCAGAAACAATGATAGGTTAAACAATAGTTCAGAGATAAAACAGAGTCACAGGACTCCTAGTTCCTCCTCAAGGAATATATATAATGATCTGATGCATATCTTTGTGTTGTCCTGCAGAATCTAAGACCACACCCCCCAGGTAAAAGATGGTTACTACATGCTGACCGCCAGCACTTAGACCCCAGACTGGTTAGAACCATAAATGTTGATGATTAAGATTCCCCAGATATCACCCTGTTACCTTACCACCAACCAAAAAGTTGAAAGTCCGCCAGCTGATCAGGCATCCTATTACTCTCACCCCTAATGCTGCCTTTAAAAATCCTTGCCTGGGCTTCCCTGGTGGCTCAGTGGTTAAGAGTCCACGCTTCCACTGCAGGGGGTGTGGGTTCGATCCCCGTTCTGGGAACTCCCGCATGCTGTGTGATGCAGCCAAAAAAAATCCTTGCCTGAAAGCCATCGAGGACTTTGGCACTTTTCAGCACTAGCTGCCCTTTCTCCTTGTTTGGTGCCCTGCAATAAACACTGTACTTTCCTTCACCACAACCTGGTGTCAGTTGATCAGCTTTGCTCTGAGTTGGGCAAGTGGACCTGAGTTTGGTTCGGTAACAATAATAGAGAAGATGGCTACAGTTGGGTTATGTCAGTTATTAAAAGGAAGTAAATTTCTTTGCTGGTAACATTTACTGAGATTCCAATGTACAAAGTTGAGTTGGTAGTGAAAGAAAAACAAAACTAACCATTTATATAATGCCCATTTACTTTTAGACACCTTCACATACATTTTTTCAGTGAATCTTCATTACCGTGCAAGGTATTTTTCCTGAGGAAGAGGATTTTTATTCCCATTTTTACATAAGAATAAATTGAGGCTTAGAAAGATGAGATGATTTATCCAATGTAATGCAATAAAGCATTAAGTCCAGATTCATAAGTCTCCAAAGACCGCTTTCTTCCTAAAACACTGTGATGCAATAGTAGAATAGGTGATATACAACAAAATAACAATTGCCCCAAATCTAAGACATGGGTGTTTCAAAACATTTATTTTAAAGCACTTTTAAACACTAACCAGTATATTTAGATTTTAACCCAGAATCCTTTCCTGAAGAAAATTAAGTCAGAGCTGGTGTGATGTGAAGAAGTGCCTTGCTGGTTTCAGTTTTTGCTACCTGAGGAACAAAGATGTCCTTATTCAAGTAGCAGAACTAAAACTGGTCTCAAGGGCTGGGCCTCCTTCTCTTCAAACTTACATTTGAATAGGAACAATTGGTCTTTAAAATACACATTCATTCCACTTTTGTTCACCCTGTAACCCTCCAGCACTTGGTATGTAGCTCTATGCTTGCTCAGCTCTCAGATTCCAAGGGCTGAAGAACCTCCCCCAGCTCCAATGTGGATAGTAAAAACTAAGAAATGTTTTAGTTCCAAGAGCACTGGACTCACAGAGGGCACCCTCCATGGCAATGGGTGACAGAACGTATGTCAACAACTGGTCTAGGAGTAAAGTTTTTGACAGCATCTTATTTAACAAATTGCCAGACCTCAGATTAACAGCGTATTTCTTAACTGTTCTTACAGGCTTGGGAGACATATCCCAAGACACCTGATTTCACCTTTATTGCATCACTTTTCCTTTCTACTGAAATAATGAATAAAGGCTAAGTGAGGATTATTAAACACAAGGTATATCTACAGGATTAAAAAAAAAACCCACAAAACAAAAATACTCTGAATGAAGATATTTAGGAAAGCCTCAGGAAGCAACAAAAAACTTATGGTTGCTTGGAAAAGAAATTAAACCTCATCAAATCCATGGCCAAGACTATCTGTCAAGAAATGTCACTGGAAACCTCTATCCAAGGCCCAGAGTTCACTGGTTGGGATCCCCAGAATCTGAGATTTCCCCAGTAACCTCCCCTTCCTGTCTTCCGTCTGCCCCTTCACAGCCCTCCCCCATTCTGTTCCTGTTCCCTCTCTCACCTGCCTTGATGTCTTTTGTTAGAGAGCAAACTGACACAGAGAACTGGCCTCCGGCCTCCCTTTTTCCTACATTCACCAATCAATCCCTCAGTTATGAAAACAGACTTTAGAAAGGAGCTGGATGTTCTGGTTAAACTCAGTGGATTGACTCTATACCTTAACCTCCACTCCAGTGGTGTGTTGGGATTAGCCCTGACTTTTACATTTTTAGGAAGTCTGTGAGCCAGTTGTTAAACAAATCTACCATTTAAATTAAGTTATATAAACTTACAATTAGGTAATTTATATTTTAAAAGATAATCAATACACAAAACTCACCACTCCCTAATGATCTTACTATTATGTATGCTCTTGAGGTTTTGGGTTTGTTTTTTTTTTTTTACCTGATTGTATCTATACAGTGAAAATGCTTAAGAATGGTGTATTATTGCTCATTTTTTCCCAACTGCAGATTCAGTGACTTCATATTGGAAACTTGAAATTGCCCATGATGGGAGAATTTACACCACGGCTATTATAAAACACTACAAATTAAGGCTTGGTTTATTATTTTGTTGATTGTTAAGAAAGTGATGAAAAGAATGTTAATAGTGCAGATTAAACTTAAAAGTGTATATTGTCTGTAGTTACATTGTGAATAGCACAAAAAAATTGAGGAGTATTATTCCAGTACTTGAAAATTATTATCTGATTCATCAGAGGTTGCTTACTGAAGTGAAGTTCCAAAATATATCTTTGTGTTTTGCTTTTGTCTTACTTCACAGAGTAAATGAAAATATCAACCAACATTCATATCAGGACTAAGCTTGTTCATAAATTGCAACCACAGGTTGGTTACAAATAAAAGAAGTCTATAAAAATCAATAATAGCATTTTGTGAGAATCAATTGGCTATGAAATTTATGAGTATTATATATTTTATCATTGCTTATAATAATTATGTTATATATCATAACAGTATATAATATCAGTAATTTATAATAAAATTATGTATATATATTTATAAATATTTATTAGCACACTACTGGTGGAGCATGATGAAAACATCATGAAAAAGGCAGTAAAGGAATAAAAAAGGCATAAACCCACAGGACGAAGAATGGGAGTAGACCCTATAATAGATGATAGATGTGAACTAAATCATCTACAAGTAGTAGTAACTGACTTGGCAAAGCAGAGGAAAGCTGAGGCTTGCCTGCCTGGTAGGGAAGCCAACAGGAAGCAAGACCATTCCCAGAACTCTGAGAAGATTCGGGACTTGAAAGCACCTAGTTCCTTTGAAGGTTTGGGGTAGGGCTTAAGTTGGATTGATTAAAAGTCTTTATAAGAATTGGATAGGCCTTTGACTTCTGCCCTCCCATCCTTACAGCCAGGCAGTGTCCTGGCTTTCATTTTATGGACAGGTTTATTCTCTGGAGAAGTTGAACCTAGAGGTGCTGAATTTGGGTCACCAAGCATAGCAGGGTCATGTCTCTGTCACTATACAGAAGATAGGGGATGATCCTAACTGAAAAGTGAGACTTTCAATCCCCTTCCTCAGCTCCGCTCCCAAAATACAGGCCACCAAGTTTTTTTGTTTGTTTGTCTTTTGGGCTGCGTTGGGTCTTCGTTGCTGCGCGCGGGCTTTCTCTAGTTGTGGCGAGTGGGGGCTACTCTTTGTTGTGGTGTGCGGACTTCTTATTACAGAGGCTTCTCTTTGTTGTGGAGCATAGGCTCTAGCCGTGCAGGCTTCAGTAGTTGTGGCACATGGGCTTCAGTAGTTGTGGCTCACGGGCTCTAGGGCACAGGCTCAGTAGTTGTGGCGCAAGGGCTTAGTTGCTCCGCGGCATGTGGGATCTTCCCGGACCAGGGTTTGAACCTGTGTCCCCTGCATTGGCAGGCGGATTCTTAACGACTGCGCCACCAGGGAAGTC